AACATAAAAAAAATTAACAAAAATTAAAAAAAAACTACGAAAAAAAAACAACGAAAAAACTAAAAAAAATACAAAGTCCCTCATTGAGCTCGAGCGTCCACGTCGCGAGGGATGGAAACCGTCGTTATTAATGATCAATAACATCTTTATCATCATTATCATCATCATTATTCATTCACTCATTTATTCGGTTATTTATCGGATGATGATGATGATGATGCTGATAAGGATGTTATTGATCATTAATAGCGCCGGGCTAATCGAGCCGCTCTATTCGAACGCACATACATACATACATACATACATACATACATACATACATACATACATACATACATACATACATACATACATACATACATACATACATACATACATACATACATACATACATACTTACATACATACATACATACATACATACAGAAATGTTTTCGGTGAAATTTCAGCCGATCAATCGTGATTCGAACGTATTTTACAAATGAATTGAAATACATCGAGCATCATTATTCGAGTTCGATTTGACCGTATTCAAGTATGATTCAAGTTTAATCCAAGTATAATCCAAATATAATCCAAGTATAATCCAAATATAATTCAAATATAATCCAAGTATAATTTAAGTATAATCCAAGTATAATCCAAATATAATTCAAATATAATCCAAGTATAATTTAAGTATAATCCAAGTATAATCCAAGTATGATTCACTATAATTCACTATAATTCACTATAATTCAAGTATAAATCAGTATAAATCAGTATAAATCAGTATAAATCAGTATAAATCGGTATAAATCAGTATAAATCAGTATAAATCAGTATAAATCAGTATAAATCAGTATAAATCAGTATAAATCAGTATAAATCAGTATAAATCACTATAATTCACTATAATTCACTATAATTCACTATAATTCACTATAATTCACTATAATTCACTATAATTCACTATAAATCGATTTATACTAGTATAAATTGAATTATAGTCAGATGTACCCTATTTAAAAAATCGTCCAACCATGAAAAATAGTCCCTGCAGGCTCTTCAG